GTAAGTGAAAGCACTAAGTAAATATTGCAAGAAATACAATAATGCCTGCTGTCAGGATCACAGAAGTATATCTCTAGTGCTGTTTTGACAAAATGTCAAAATCTTCACTTGAAAAACAAATTTAATGTTTGTATATTGAGAATTAAGAGCATGCTATTACAAACTTGACAGAAACTCTCAACAGTCTGTTAAAAATAGTGGCAAAAATGACTATTTATTTCAAAGCCTGGTTGAGGTTTTGATTTAGGATTGCATATTTAAAATAATGACAAAATATCATATATAACAGTATTTATAAACTATATATGACCACAACTGACAGTGGTCCAGATTTTTGTCCTCCAGCATTCCTTATTGAAGAAAAAACATGAAGCAATCCATAAAAGGCCAGTAGTACCTGTATCCTTGTTAGTTATTTCTTCCTGACTCATTAGTTCGGTTTTCAAACAATTTAAAATCATTGTTACTTTTAATCCCACCAAAACCAAAGATAAGCATCCCAGGAAAACAATCATTATGAGAAAAGCAAAACCAGTACTGCACTTTGCCATTCATCATTGTATCCAATTTAATTTCTGTTTGGATAGAATTAGCTGTGATTTTCCTTCTTTGTATAATATATCCTGTAGATTTACTCTTCATTTATATTTATGAAAAAGAACAAACATTAGAATACCAGAAATGTACTGCAAATATAGCTGAATTTCTTTCCATATAGGAAAGAAAAGCTGTCTATATAAACTATTTACCCTCTTTCACTTTTCTGTCTCTAATTTATTGTTATGAAACACTATAAGAAGAAACTGTAACAGTTGCTTTCCTTTTTGCAATACTAAAGATGATACAGTACTCAAGAAAAAAGAAGTTTAGTCTTTAAGAGCAAAATAGTGGCCCATGTCTGAGACCAAGTTTTGCTGGCTGGCACAACCCCTGTGAGGTTTTTAATCTGCATTGTGAAGTATGTGAGTAATATGAAAAAAACCCCAAACCTTCCAGTAATATATTAAACACACTTATTACAGAAACCAAGAAAAATGAAAGAGATTGAATCTCAAGAACAATGCAAGTTTCTCTTGAGAGAAACACTGTTTAATAAATTATAAATACATCATCATATGAAATAGGAGGATAAATTCAACCTTCCTAACTGAATGAAAAAAAAAATATTGCACAAATCAAGAACTTTTTATTACCATTTGTGATGATGGAGTTGAAATATGGCAAGAGAAAATTATTATGGCTTTATAAAAGGTAGTTTTTTTTTTCCATATTAACTCCTAGAAATAATGTTATGAATGTTACACTAAGAATTTTTGAGCATCAGGGTAGGCATAGTGAATGGGGGCATAACTCCATCTCTCCAGAGTAAATTTCAACACTGGCAAACAGCTGGAAACTAAGTAAGAAAGCATAAAAAGGACAGACATCCACACAGCACTAATTCATTCCCAGTCTCCAGTGATCTGGTGCATCAAGAATTTCTTGTTGTCTCTGTAAATTTAATATTTGAGCTTGTCAAAGTTATGCTTGAACTGGCATAAACTTTTTGCATCCACAACATCCTGCAGCAAGGAGCTACACAGATTACCTACATGAAACATAAAGAAATACTGCTTTTGTTCACTCTCAACCTACTTCAATGAATTTAAATATTGGAAGGGAGAACAAATATTTGCTCTTTTATCTACTTCCATTTCATAATTTAAATTCTCATTACTTCTCTTAGATACTATAGTTTAGACAAAAAATCAGCAACTTTCTGATTACATCACTAAGAAAAATACAGGCTTTTGTTCACAAGAAAGTAACATTAATTTCTGTATCTGATTTATGGATACAAAGACTATAAACATTTGGGCAATGAATGATTTTAACCTGACTGTGGTACAAGAAAGATTCAAATCCTGAAAGCGAAGAGCAAGAAAAAACACTAAGCATGGAAAATCCCAGGTTTTTCTGCAGGAATTCCTGCATGTTCTGCATTGCATGGCAAAAAATTTCAAATTTAACTAGTAACTGAGGAAAATCATAAAAGGATTATTTTATATTTGGACAAGGAATTAAACATATTTGAAGTAAAATTATCTGAGATTTCTGAGTCGGCAAAACTCTACTAAAAATGTCACAAGAGCACATAATTACTTTCTCCCTTTCATATTTTCTTACCAGACTCTTCTGTTTCACTTTTTGGCCCAAATTCATAGAAACCACCTATGTCTGTCAAATTATTCTGGTGCCTCTGTAAAGTCTGAAGGCTGTTCTGTGCTTGTCCTGGCATAGTTCATAACCACATGGATTACAAGTTTTTTTTTAAATGTAGAAGATGTCTAAGGATAGACAGCTGCAATTCAGCAGCTGGAGCCCATCCTACTAAATGTGATAGCTCTGCACTGCTCCCCGCCATCCCTCATATGAAACATTCCACTTGTGGTAAAGAATCAGCAGCCTAACTTGAGCAGATGTGGCAAAACAGCCTACAGAAATTTTACTAATTGTAATAAAAATTTGTTTAATTTGCTCTTTTGTTCTGTGTTTTTGACCCAACTATTAATTTCCTTCTGTTGAATGTGCCTTCCACTTGTCCCCACTCCACCAGCATTCCCTTCCTACATGTTGATCCCTCTTTTCTTTGAGCCCAGCCTTGCTCTGTTCTCCAAGCAGGCTATGTATGAGCTCAACTGAGGGTTGGCAATAAACCTCAACAAGAAAAAAGCACAACCATTTACTGTCCAAGGAGAAATGGCAAGCACAGCACTGGATTCACTGATGGTTCCTTCTTTCCTTTCTACCAGCGCTGAAGGTGCAGAAGATTCTTGGCTAATTTCTCCTTAGGAAGCCAGCACAGGTATGTCAGCCACTTTAAACTGTTTCCATGCCACTGGAGAGGCTTTGGCATCACAGGATCAAGACAGTTGTTAAACTGAACTCTAATTAGAAGTGTTCATCTCTCTCCAGGAAATCCAGAAGGAGCTTAAATGGGCTTGATCCTAACCTAACTGCATAAAGAAAAAAGCTGCAAAAAGAAAAATGGAGAAATTTGGCCCTAGACCTTCTGCTGATTGCAACCACATTGATGGAGATGCCTTTCATCAGCTCCTTCTAATAGAGTGGTCCACAGCAGGTACTTTCCTAAATGTGCTTCTACCTCTGGTAGAGGCAGTCAGCCCATGATAACCCCATAGCTACATTGTTATTTGCAAACTGCTGGAAGGAACATTTTCAGAACTGTTAAATCAGTAATGTTAATGTCTTGAGAAAAGAAATAGAAGGCCCAGTAATGCCAGAGGAGGTGTGCACATGTCTGAGAAAGGGCTAAGCAAGCAGTGGTAGGGATCCATGGATGTACAGCTTTCAACACATGAAATAAAAAATTAGAAGAAGGATTAGGTGCAGAACTCATCCACGAGAAAGCTCACCAAATTCTTTCAAATTTTTAGACAAAACTGTCATAACAAGAATATGGAAGATGTGAGAGAGAAAAGAAAGACTTCTTAAAAAGGAACTGAGAAAAGTTCTGTTCAGGCTTATAGAGAAAACTAAAACAGAAAACTATTTAAATAGGAGGACAGTCTTTAAGTCACTAAGTTTGAGCTTGGGAATATTATACCTCCTCTCTTCATATGCACATTTACTGTAGCTTTTAGGAAGTAAATGCTATAGTAAAGATGAATTAAAAAAATACATGCAAAGATTTTGCAAAAGATCAAGACACAGATGATACAATGATTCAATTTTAGTATCTTGATAACAGCTAAAACTTGACCACCGTAGGGTTTTGGGCTAAAGAAAACTTAACTGCTTCCAACTTAAAAAGAAAAGCAAACAAAATCACAAGAAAACAAAAGCAAAAAATTTTTAACAAGTGAAAAGCAGGATAATTATGCAGACATAAATATGCATCCACATCTAAATGCCAAAGACCCCAATAAGCACTCATATATTTAGAAAGATTCCTTTCTCAAATACAGTGCACAAACATGACCTCGTGTATATATAAATGCACACACCAGCTGTATTTTCTTCCCTACTTGCAGCAAATGTCTCAAAAAAGACAACACTGCATAACATTTTCTTCTGGTGCACACTCATGCAGAAAAGCAACAGAGGCCTAGCAAATTATAGTAAAATTTAGCATTGCACATGGAAGATCAGTCCCATCAAGTGCTTCAAGAGAACTAAATCAAACCTCATCCCAAAAAAGCCAGAAACAAAACCACCTAATACCACTGCCAAATCATAACTGCTTCTTCCTGCATTACTAAGAAACACATCTGCAACCTTGGAATTTCTGTCTGACAGACTTCATACCTCTGCCATCTACTAATGACTGACACACCTGATCTTTTAAAAAGATGGATTTTGACTTTTTTTTAATAATGAGAAAAGTATTTTTCACCACTCCTTTCCAAAAACAGCTGGAGTAGCTTGGCATAAATGTCCAAAAAGTATCTCAACTAGTAAAGGACTGCCAAATTCCACCAAGAAGGTAAAATGACTGGGAAAAAAGAATAAGCCACTGAAAATCTTTTCTTAAAATGGAAACACTTGTGCAATTTCAACTCTCCATTGCAAGCATTATTATGTCCTCTGAAATAAAGAACTCAAAAGCTCTCTTTCAAGTAGACAGTTGGGTTATGGTTTGAAGGCCTCTTGATTTCAGTTTTATTTAAGAAAAATCAAAGGGGTTTATCTTAATGAATACAGAGCTTAAAAGCACCAGATTCTTGTTAAGTAAAGACTTATCCATACCCTGCAATTTTTAACACACTTTACAAATAAATATAAACTACTTGCATTCCAGATAAGCATTAAAACTCTTACTGGTCCTCTTTTTTCTTTACTCTATTTTCTGTTAAAATCTGTCCAAGATATGCCACAGGCTCAGGATTAAGAAATAATAATAAAAAAAAAATCAACAACTACACAAAAAAAATCCAATTCAATCCCCTTTCAACTTACAAAAACGTGCCTCATAGGGACCATAAAATCCATGTAATTACCTGCTGCAGGATCTGTAACTGCTTGACTGGTGATGCCAGATGGTGGTTCTTGAAGCTGGTATGTTGCATTTGTGGAGGGTGTCGTAGGGCTGGTGTTGCTGTTCGTCATGTAATGTGAAGGGTATGGTGAGCTATTATAATACTGTGCATATTGGCCCTGGCCAAAACTGGGATAGGAGGGATATTCCTGCAAGACAAAAAAGCAACCGAGTAGCCCATCAAAGTTTTGCTACTTTTCAGTATAAATTCCAAAATATAACTACAAACACATGTCAGACTTTGAGCACGTATGCTTCCTGGACTTGGTGCTGTAGGACCTCAAACTGTGAGGCAGTAAAACAAAATCTAAATTACACATAATTTAGTATGTCTTTTCATACAAGCAGTTTATTAGACACACTGCTTAAGATGTGTGAATAAGAACATCAACCTCTGACAATTAGCTCTAAGATGACAGATTGAAGAAAAACATTTATAAACATTTTAGTTTAACTTGAAAGATGACAATATCTTTCAACAAACTATTTAAGAGCTACATTTTTTCAGCAGATGAGAATTCTAAGTTTGCCAAAGTTTGCTGAACTCCTATTTGCAAATTTACCTGCTGTGAACTATTAAATCCAGTAGAATTTGTGAGTGAATTATTTCCTGCATATATTCCTGACGATGTTGTAAAACTGCTGCCTGAAATGAAAGGAAAAATTATGTGAATTACTAAAACAAAGTATTGGAAAATAACTTCTATCACACAATTATATCATAACATTATGGCATATTTGTAATATTTCCCATATGTTGACCGATTCAGCTCCATAACATGTTAATACTTAGAAAGTGATAATTCATCGTTCTTACACTCTGTATTTCATTATTACAATAAAAAAATCCCCTTGAAATTTAGACTGGAATTTTGGACCCACCTCAGGTCTGATTGAAAATTCAGCTATTGCACCCCTCTGAATAACACCCAGCACTGTGGAAGTAATGAGGGTTTCTTTGCTTCTTTTTTTATTTTTCTTTTTTTTTGTTGTTGTTGAACAATAAGGGCAAGCCTTGTCCCGAGAGACACCATTTCCCTTCATGAAAACCTGATGGCTCTGTTTCTCCTGCCACCTTTGAGAACTGTGTCCTCTCCCCTTCCTGAGCCTCAGCCCCTCACAGGAGCAGCAAAAGCCATAACTCCCTGCTCCAAAGAGCTCAATCCCACTGCAAAGCCATTAGGACTCACTAATCGATCAGAGACAGCCTTGGGCTGCAAACCTTCCCTCTTTTGACAGAGTGTACTGGGTATGACACAAGAGAAAAAAAGTACCTCTCTGAAAAGGGAGCCCCAAGATGGAATTTAGCCCAGAGACTGAATTACTGCCTTCATCACCCTCCTCCAGCTTTCATGAGCCACCAAAAATAGACAGATGGGGCTCTCTAATACCCAACCTGAGAAGCTGTTCCACTAAAAGGGCAGCAACTCCCTTTCAGCTGTCTTGCCCTCGCTGGCTGTAACCCAGGAGTGACACAGCCACCAGCTGAGACATATGGATGCACAGGGTGAAGCTACATAAGCCACCACAAAGTCTGTAATGAGGCAACCTATTGAACTCATGCAGCAGGAGAGCACCAGTCAGTATAGGTTATTAAAGTGCACAGGTTGTTTACAGCCTCCCTCACCACCAAAATCTGCCTCAGTGCAAAGATATACAGAGACCTTGGGAGTTAAACTTGCAGGTGAGCAAAGGAGACAAGGAGGGATGAAAATCAACAGGGAGTCAGGCACACAGATGAACCAATCCTCTGACGTACCCGACACAACTCAATTAATAAACAAACCCAAAAAGAGGTTACTCATTGGGAGAAGCAACATTTCTTACAAATCCAGAGGACAGGATGCAGGCAGGGGTCCATACTTATTACAAACCCTGAAGGACATTTGTCCATCAAAATGCTATTTACTTTTCTTAAACAAAAAACACCAGACCAATAGGTATTGTAGCTATGAGAAGTCAGAAGGAAAAATATTTAAATGTTTTGACTGCAAAAGTTACTAAAACCACATACAAGTTAAGTCTCAAAGACGTAAATGAGAAGTTCAACAATAGTGGGAGTAAAGGATGAAGCTTTAACTTAATGTATGAAATAACTATAAACATTTATCTTCTCTCTTCCACTAGTGCAAAATCTCTGATTGTTGATAGATGCTACTAATCCTGTGAACTAAAATCAGATTACTTCAGCAGAAGAGTTGACATCCAAGTTTAGCAGATAGTACAGATAAACAGTACTAATGAGAAAAACATGTTGTTTTAAATTTAATTTAAAATTGGAAAACAGATGTTATTTTTTTATTGTGACAAACACAAAAGCCAAAATACATCTGAAAAATATTTTAAATTGCAATTTGAAATAATATTTTATTTCTAATAGTGCTCTGGCTGGAAAAATATAAATCACTGTGCCTCTTCTTATTTCTATAGGGTTTTTTGCAGATGCAGTAATACATTCAAAGCCAGGTTTTAAAGGCGCACAGTTTGAGCCACTCTAAAAAGATATAAAAGGCCTCTCATAGTCATAAGTAGAAAAAACCCCAGACTTCGTTTGAGGAATATATTGTCTTTCCTCAGAAAGTTTAGAAAATAATTTGCAAGAGCAAATGAGAAAAGTAATTACATGCCAGCCAGCATCTCTCCCTCTCAGACAAAGACACACACACACTAACATGCAGATCTCTCTTTCATCTCATGGTCAGCACTGGCTTCTATGGAGGAGGGGTAAGGGTCTCCTAGACCGTAACAAACATGAAGCAGGTTTCTCAGAAACAGCTCTGTGGGCCACCCAGAACTACAGGCCTGAAGTTGTTTTTAAAATACTCCTGATTTTGCAAATTGTTTTTTAAATATTCAGCCATAACGTGGCATAGAGCCGCTATCCTGCCTTAGCCGAACAAACACAAAAATAAGAATCACTACAAAACATGCAATATTTACTGCCCTAAGTTGGCTGGCTACATAGCTTTAAATGTGATAAAAGCTGTAAATTGCAGGTCAAAGGTCTATTTTGCAAAGAGCTCTGACCCACATTAAAGCTGGGAATCCCAGTCAGCATCGGAAGGTGGCCGGACCCTGCTGGGAGTAGGGCGCGCTCCAGGTGTGGGGCGCGCCCTGTGCCGCCGCAGGCACGGGATAAGGTCCTCCCCCGTGTATTGGGACAGAAGCCCATTTGCCTTCCTAGCTCAGTCTCCTTGCCATGGGCTATGTCTATCATCAGGGTACAATGTATGTGGCAGAAGTTTAGTCCCATCTGGCCTCTTGGGAAAGCCTTAGACGGCCAGATGGGCTATTTAAGCTCAAGGTTTCTTCCGTTTGCTTACAGTGTTTAAAAATCCTTGGCAAACTCCCTCTTGTTGTCCTAGTAACTGCTTAGCCATCCAGCACAATATTTTTATACTGTATAATAATAACCAAATACCTTAACGTTTACTTTTTTACGGTTGAATTCCCAAACCAATGGGATAGTTATGCTCTATCATCACAGCTTCGGTAACTAAAACAATGCTAGTGCTCATCACAGGTCTAGCACCCTTCCAGTGGTAGGGTACTTGGTGGAGGGTACAAGCCATGCTTCTTATCACAATCAAAGGAGACCCAAATAAGACATTTGCAAATGGTGTTCTTTCCTTGCTGTTTCCCCCAGCCCTTCTCCACTCCATTTATCCTCACTGTGCAATCCTTATAAATCTGCCAATATAGGAACAAGGGCCCATTCCCACAGCCATTAGTCATGTAAGTGGTCTTTCAACATCTATGAAGCAACTTATATGAAAAACAGCTTAAGGAACACACTCGTTAAATAAAGTAAGGGGGAGGGGGGGGAGAGGGGAGTGGGGAGATGGGTCACAGAACTGCCCGAGTCCTCTTCTCACCCTCTCCCCTCTGCACTCCCTGATTGAGATTATAAATTTGTGACAAACAAAAATCCAATTACCAGAATAAACTTAGCAAGCAGTCACAGGCAACAATTCTCCTTACAATTTTCATAAGTTGGCAGCCTCTCCCCCCACTATTGTTCGGTGACTAATGACGCTGTAATTTTAGCAGGGTCAGGAAAAGCACTGGGTTTAATTGGCTGCACACGCACCAAGAGGCAGCGTCTCTGCATTGCAGGCAGACATCCATCCCAGGGAGAGGAACCAGAATTAACTCCAAAGCTTTGGAGCACGAGGTAACCCCAGTCAGGGAACACGAGCAGGACAACTGCAAGGCCGCTAGGAAATCCCCTTTGCCGCAGGCAGGAATGCCAGCAGGGCCCCGAGCCGCTGTCATGTAATGCTCGGCTGCGGAGTAGGTTGTGGGATCCATTATCTCCATTTAGCAGCTCAGCAGCTGCACGCAGGAGATGAAGAACAGCTATTGCAGGCTATGACAAGGCTGGGGCTGCAGCCTGCCCATATACTGCTAGAGGGAAAAGGGAGAATAAACTCATTTTCCTCTCTGGAGGTTTCTGCACAAACAACTGAACAGCAGCAGCAGTAACCCCGTCTTCTGTCATGAGAATCAATTTTGTCCTTAAATAATAGTTGAAATTATGAATAGGTTCTCCTTCTGAAATTAAATCAGGAAAGAGAAACAAATGTTCCTGTTTACTTTCAACAGCTGTTCAATCAAAAGGAAGAATTAAGTCAATTTAGAGTTGTTTCAAATACACAAGTTTACTTAATGAAAATATTACAAGACATATAGTCTCACGAGTAGTACAGACATATATTGTCAAACATTTAACTGCAAGAAAGACCTGATCAGAAATGTGATTCTTTCCTGCTTAGCAACTTACAACTCCTCCAGTCCTTTCATTTGAAATATTCCCCTTATTTCCAATCTTATGGTCTCTAAGGTTTCTGTAAAAGACCAGTCCTTCCCTCACCCACTCATTGTGTTGTTTATGAGCGCAACAGAAAGGACATACACACCACAGGGATGCTCCAAGTCTGACCTGTGGCTCTTCTGCCCAAGCCAGAACTGTCAGTGATCCATTGACTCCCACAGGTGGGCGGCTCTCAGCCCAAGCACAGCACAGATAGAGCACAACCCAGAGTAAGACCCCCTCCCCCTAAGCCCTGCAGACAATTCCATCATTAAATCAATGGTTCTGATCCTTTTCCTATTAGAGCTTCCCAACTGGGTCATCTTTAACATATTTTTGCTGAATATTTTAAAATCCTTGCCTCTCAAAGTATACAGATAAAATGCTTTCCAAGATGTTACTGTTCCATCTCTTGACAACTGTCATCCTTTGCTGAACTTGAAAATTCTGCTCTTATACAAACTTTGCATATAGCAAAGAAAAAAAAAAGCAATACCCTTTATGGCAGACTCTATGCAGTCTATTGACAAAGTCCAAGCTTTGAACTACTAATGCCAGCATTCACATTACTTACAGCTTTCACTTAAATTTTCTAAGCACTCTCTACATTATCCTTTGCTGCTCCCTCTTCCCTCCCTCTGTTGAATGAGTTTCCCATAGACATCTGCAAAACTATTTCCCTATCCTCCCTAAAATCCCTTTTTATTGACATCCCTCTGCTTGAGATCTTTCAAAAAACACCTTTAGAGCTGTTAGGTAACCAGTATGGGGTGCCAACTGTTTATTATATATAAACAGTGTCAGCTTTATTGTTTCATTAGGCTCTTCTAGTCTGTGTGTTTAATTTTAGCCTCCAACTTCTATGGACTATATTTTTATTTGCCTGTAGAAGTTAACACAACAGGATCCCAGTATATGACTGCACTACTGCAATAGAAATTATAGTCAGCCCAGACATGATTTTTCAATCACACTATTTCCTAGCAACTGTGAATTATCAGTTCCTTAAAAGCTGAAATGTTGTTTCAGAAGTTCATTTTAGCTGCTGCTGGCAAGCATTTTGAGCTTTCTTCTACAGAGAGGTAGGATTTTTGGAGGGGGGAAGGTGGGTGTGGAGGTAGGTGTGGAAGTGTGTTTGTTTGAGTTCTTTTGTGCAGCTGCCTGCAGAAAGAAAAAACAGTAACCTTGTTTGGTTATATTTACTCTGATGAGGAGAAGATCATCACTATTCAACATGTAGATGAAAATCCATGTGCTACTCTGGTCCTGTCCCTCTTGCTTGTCAGAGCACACTATAAATCAGCAATATTTGAGATGTCAGAGGGTCACTTCTGCCCTATGGAACTACTCAACACACAGTTCAAAAGAAGATTTTAAAAAATGCAACAAAACCCATCTCTCTTGTGTCTGAGCAAAGTACAGGATCAATATATCCTTAAAGCTGTGGAACAAAAACAAAATTGTATTCACTTAGTCTCTGAAAGCACTTCTGCCTCAAGATATTTCATGGAGTGTTTACTTGGTGGCACACAGTTTAGACTGAGCTTAGTAATATACAAAGGTGCTAAAATTATAAAAAAAGTGGTCCATTTTTGTGATTGATGACTTATTTCAACAATTCCAAAATTACAACACACCTGATATCTACTGCCAAATTCAGGGGTGAAAAGGCCTGCAGCAGACATCCCAAAATAACTACTTCTGGTAAACAAAGATTTTTTAAAATATCTGTTAAGCCTGAACAATCCAGAACCAGGCACAACCAGTGACTTCTCAATACAGAAGAGGGAAAAGGAATTGGGAGAACAAGGTGGAAAGACATTAAGTAAACTAAACAGGCAAGTACAGCTACAAAATATAATTGATAATAATAGCCTGCACATACAAAGACTTACAGCTTTTAAATAGACTTCAAAGAAACAGACTTCAATCATTACTTAGCTACCTCCACAGCTGCAGTAGGTATTTTTATCTTCTTCTCCCTCCTTGAACACGCTCAGGTGTCAAATTATATTTGGCACTTCCTAAATTCATAATCCTGTCACGTTTTACAGGACTAGCTTTGTCTCATTCACTATTTGCTAAACTATTGCTATTCAGAGATACCTTTTTTTACTGTAACAACACTAGAATATTTCACTATTTAAAATTTAATGAAGCAAGGGGTCTTCTAAACTGCTGAGAGCTGGCCTGTTGCTCTCTCAGCAAAGGCAATCATCATTTCATCAACAACTGCAATAAAATCAGAGCTAAGAGCTCAAGCAAACATCCATTTTTATTCTAGGAATATAACAAAATAAGGAGGAGAAAACCCCACCATAGCATTAGCTATATCTAATTAATGGTAACATCTGTTTATACAGACCTTGCATCTGGTAGCTATAGGGAGCCTGTCCAGGTTGAGGTGTGCTAAAGCTGGCACCGTAGCTGAGAAATCCTGTTTGTCCAGGTGACTGTGACTGTGCCAATCCACCTTCTGTCTTGATGCCTGCCCACAATGCACCTAAATCAGTTAGTGACAGCAAATCTATTTGTTCATATTCAAACAGGGATGGAAAATAAAATCACTTAATTAACAGCCATTTTAACATATACCTACTATTGCCTGAGAGAACAAATATTGAGAGCATGCACAAATTAATAAGGTAATGGCAGTCTAAGAGCACACTGAAAACTGAAGTTCACCAGGGAAAGGTTAAATTCAAAACTGTGTTTCCAATAACTGCAAAAGAAATTTATACATGAACAGGAAGTTGCATTATTCCTTTTTTCCTTTCCTGCCAGAGGCAAACTTTTCCATATATTCATGACATTACACAGAGGTAGATTAGCAACTTTATATGAATTTAATGAAGCATAGCATAGCCAAGCTCTCCTGCCATTTACCCATTAATGACATAAACGAAAATTACATTGTATATTATTCCTACATGAAAATCACACAGCTCCAAGAATGTTTTTTTTTAAGAATTAGAAGTGGATAAAGAAAACTAGCAGTATTAAGTGCAATGATGATTTTTCAAAGGTAATTAAACATTAATTCAGTTCTTTAACAAATAATCACCTAAGAGACAGGAACTATTCCTGAAGCAATCTCCTGAACTGGGAAAAACATAGCAAAGCCATTAATCTGCACTGGTGTAGAAATCCATTACACACCACATTACTCTCTCACTTCTAAATTTAGTTATAAAATAATCCAAAGTCTGATCAGTGAATGACTTGCTGCCTAGTTTCAGTGATTCTTCCCTCAATTTGTAAGGTAATGAGCAAGCAAATATCAGCAGGCAAAATACTGAGGAAATGCACACAATTCAGCCTCTGTCTCTTAGTTTTAATTATAAGGTTGTCCCAACATGAACTACCATTTAAAAATAATTGTAGCCAAAGTAATGGAAAAGTGATACAATATTCTTAGGTTTCACTGTGGCATTCAGTGATAACTCATTGTTCAGAAACCAACAATATTTGAACTGGATTTACTAAGTGTGAATTAGTAACATTCATTTGAAAATTGCTGTTAATCTAAGTTCATTTCCTGGTTGGATTTTTCTATAGACAATATTCAACAATGTTTCAAGGTAGGAGTGGGCTCAGAAATTAATGCGTTGGCAAAACTTCAATACCTCCCTGTATACAAATGGCAGCATATTTTCTACCATCCAAGTAATTATTTTTCAACTGTTGTGATTAATTAACCTCAATTCCTTCTGCCAGACCTTCTAACTGCTGAGCTAAACCTGTTTGCTTGTTTTTCCCTGATGCTTACTTGATTCTTCTGTTTCATGTTACAATTAACCAGTTCGAATGACGAATCTCGACACCTCGTTTCCAAGGGGAAACTCCTGCTGTGGATGGTTTGGTATCAACAATCCCTATTTGTTGTCTGTTTAAGGACTTCTGAAATGCTGATTAAATATGGCTTAGAGAAAGTTTAACTAAATCAAGCATTAAATTTCTAGCAGCCTGATCCAAGTCTCCATCTCAGACGGAGCAGGAGATGATCAAAAGCAGCAGTAGGAGGATGCCACTTGAGTGAAGACAACTTGGCACTGACATGTGCTTTTGCACCTCCATGCTATGAAGAGCCTTTCATCTCCTGGGACTTATACTTGCTCTCATCCCCAAAGCCTTCACTCATCAAACCTTGATGCTCCCTTCTCCCAAGTCTAATGTACTCAAGGAAGTGGGAAGGGACAGTGACACAAGAGGACTGCCAGGATCTGGAAGGTAAAGAAGTTGGTAAGCAAAGCCTTTGCTAGATGCTGGTGCTGGAGCAGGCAGGAGGAAAGAGCTTCAGGAAATTCTCCAGCCTCCTCAGGGGCTTTGCAGATGAAGCAGAGCCAGAAGCCCCAGGGCAGCAGCTGTCAATGGCATTCCCCTCCACCCCCCTTCCTGCCTGCATGGCTGCATGGCTGTGGAGGTGGGGAACTGGAAAAATGAAGAGGCTAGAGGTACAGTTGAGCACCTTCCCAAACTCTACTCTAGAGAGAAAACCTGAGGCAGGCTGATACAGAAAATCACAAATACTCTTTCTTCCAGTAGACACAGAGTAAAGAAACAAAAAGAAAGAGGCCTCAACTCAGTTTTTTCTTTCACATAGGCATAAGTCTTCTCCCTTTATACTGCTGTAAGATTTCTGCCTGGATGAAAGAAAGGCAAGATAGAGGGTACATGGGGTCTAAACTGGTAGAATCAAAGGGTAGAATTTTGGTTCTAAGCAAGGCTTCAGCTCTTGCTTATTGCAAATGAGTGTCCTAATGCTCCCCAATTGCATTTGGGAGCACAGATTATATGGCATGCCTTAAATAAGCAAAAATATATGTTAAGTCCTAAAACTTTTTAATAGTTATTTGCTTTTAAATATTACTCCTATAAAGGAGCACCTTAGCACCAGCCACAAGGCACAAGTCTGAAAAGAACAAAGCACATAAAAATTCTCTTGGCTCAGGAGCTGAGGATTTCAGTGGTCAAAAGTAAGCTCTGCAATGTAAAACATTGCAAATTTATCTGAAGTCCTAGGCATGGGGGATGGACTAGGCAAAAAACCAAACCAAAACAAAAGAGCAGGCAAGCATGTTAACCCCCACAAGCAGTTGCCAAGTAAAGCAACTCTCAATTACAGCTCCGACGACAGTGAGACAGCTAAACTCAAGTAGTGAAATCAAGGCCTGGCTGAAGTCAGTGGGAATTTTAGAGTTGACTTCAGTGAAGTCAGGATTTAATCCAGAGGAACCAAGCAAAAAACAAAAAAGTCACTGTTTAGGCTGCCCAAACCTAGCAGTCAGCCAAGTATGAACACTGAGGTGTCCACAGGAGAAACAGGTCAACAAAGGAAGGGTGGGGGAAAGGGTTGTTTGTTATCATCCCCCCTGATCCAGATGGAATTAGCAGACAAGCTCTCATCAGCAACAGGAGCTCTTGTGTGTGTGTGTGTCTGTGTGTCTGTGTGTGTCTGTGTGTCCAAGACTCCCCATCTCACAGTGTAAGTTTAAAATATGTTCATTCGAACTGAAGCTGAAACATCCAATTTATACTGAGGAACCTATTTTAAAGTAAGGGGGAAAATAATGTATTTCTTTTGCCTAGTGTTCACCATAATCTGCCACAGGATACACTTGAGATCCAGTGGATTTTCAATTTGCAGACCTCAAGATGAAAGATTCACCAGTTTTGCACTTAAAACTTTTAATACTTTTAAAGTGAACAGCTTATATGGCGAGTTCTGTCCTTTTGGTATAAAACTTATATTATCTGAACATATTTTTACAAAATATACTGCTCAAAGCATGTGGATTGTATATTTTTAATATATTCCCCCAGAGGAGTATAAGACCTATTTTCTAATAATGCATCCTTGCTGCTGCACTGCTATGTTGTCTGCCAGCAGACAGTCTGGCAGGAAAATGGTCTCACCCATGGCAGCTTGTTTTTAAATTAAATTTTTTGGGAAATATTTGCTACTTAGTACTATCTCCTTCATCAGGCAGACAGAGCTTTAGTGGCAATTTACCTCAATTTTCACCTCCAGGGAGTTTTAAAACATTGGAAAATGAGATTTTTTTTTTGATGGAGGCATTTTTGAATCGTTTTTTTTTGCCTGCTGAAAATCAGCACAGTCTCGTAGATTCATCTGGATTCTAGTAATCTGTACCAGCTGAAATTCAGACTTTTACATCCTGAAGTAACCTCATGCACTACTGGGGAGCAGAGCCCTGAGCAAGTCACCAGGGGCTGGGTCTGTGTCATGGAAACCCTGAGATCTCTTTTCCCATTTCACTGCTGTATTTTTGATGTCACCAACAGAAAGCTAATCATGGACCTCTGGGGTTTATTTTCTTGAGTACCTTTTTAGCTCTTTAATGCATAAATTAAACATCACTCATTCCGAGGTGAGAAAACTAACAACAGTCTTCCACAAGAAATGCTCTAGTGCTGTCCCACTAAGCACTAACCTAAGGGTCACACAGGCTTGATCTAAAGAACATTTACCTGAGGAATAAAAGAGCACGGCCGGGATTTCTTACCATAGGAAGGGATTCCATAGGGCTGGCCGGGCTGGGGGTAGGTGGCATAGGCTGTAGCTTGCTGCATTCCCGCTGGGAACTGTGTCTGCCCATAGGCAGCCATCGTTTGTGAGGACGGGGTGGGGAGAATGTGTGGGTAGGGTCTGCTATTGATTACAAGGGACAGAAAATAGGACAGACACTGCATTAGACAGACATGCACGTGCTTATTTTTAGCCTTATTATAATCCTGCTGCTTCATTAACACATAATCATAGGCTGTGCTAGACAATGGAAACTTTAAGAGACAAAATAAGAAAGAAATAATAAGAATAATATAATAATAAAGAAACAATAAAAAATCAATAATAAAAGAATAAGTGAAATACGAACTTTACAAATATTTTTCAAATACATTCTTAGCATTTAAAAAAAAAAATCCCTAGAAGCTGCTGCAGTTTAAATTATGGCTTAACAGATGGACTCAATTATTATTTTAAATGAGGTTAAAATCTCACTATTCCAGTTATTATTATTACTACTACTATTATTATTTTAAAAAGATATCATACTTGGAAGGGTAAATCTGTGGTGGGGAGAACTGGTGTGTTTGTCTTGGGCTGAAACCACTGCTTCCAATTGCTGCACCAAGGAGAAAAGAAAGCATACAGAAGTGTAAATACACACACCAAAGATAAATATTATTTTTCCTAATAGAATTTCAGAGTATTAACAAGATTTTAATTAAATTCAAATATCATTGATACCTTAGATAGAAAACAATATTTTATGAGGAACTATACAGGAATGCTTAACATTAAAATCTTGATTGCAAATCTCAAATACTAAATTACCCCTTTGTACAATTCCTGAGCCATAGTTTATTCTTTGGTTGCACACAGGCAACATTTTCAATGCAAACAACCTATTTCCTAGTGGAAACATTTCCCTTCATATTTTCAAAGGATTGTTGATATCTCAAGTGCAACATTTTATTAACTTTTAGAATTTTTAAGACCTACATTTTATGAAGGAGCTTTATGCGTGCCTCGATTGAAAACACATGGCCCGCTTCAGAGCACACGCCTCTTTTTAAAAAAAAAAAAATCCCTAATGTAGACTATGTATTACCTTATTACACTTCTATTTTCTTCCACCTTATTTGCTGTCTAAAATGCTTTCAGCCCTTTGAATCAGTATTGCAGAAGGATGTCCAGGGTGCAGATGCAGTTAGTGAAACAGGTAAGCAGAGGAGGCCGCACCCTGAGCCGCTCCCTGCGCAGCCCCAGCTGACGCGGAGCCTGCCCCCAGCACTGCTCACTTCTGTCAGCATCTCTGGGTGCTGCTCAGAGTGTGGCAGCTCTGCTGGCCTCCTCTGCTCAGGATGATATTTTTGGGAGCCTTTCCCTCTCTGGTTACTGTCTGGGTGTCACTTCTCCTCTAGGTCCCAAGGTGGGCCTGGGAGCCTTTGCCAGGAAAGGGTCAGCAGCAGGTTATGAGACTACTGTAAGATCAGACAGCCCGAGAAACAACAGGCCTTATTGCTAAGTGCTTGGAAATAAACAAGGCACACATCATTACCCCTCACCAGCTACCCCCTTCCTGGCCAGCTACAGGGAAAATCCATCATCTTTACACTCTGGGGGGGAAGCAGGGAGTCTCTTTCTTTGCCTTCTACATCTGATGATTTTTCTTTTCTGTGGCCTGTGAGGCTGCAGGCATGCCAAGTGTTACACTCCAACCTTTACTAAGATCACTACAGATGTATGTAGCTACAATTAGGTACATAGTGTATTTTCTTCTTTCAGAGAATTAAAATACCTTAGGAGCCTTTCTTTGGGCTTTCAGGCTTGATGCTTTCAAATTCATCAGCCTTTACGGAAAATTGAGGCTGTGACAAGACCAGGAAAGGGCTGGCTACCAGGAGTCTGACTGGTTGTGAGATGTCAAATTTTGCCACTACTGAAATGTAATCCCACAATATAATATTAGATCCTTTTCTGATTTGATTTGCACCATAAAACCAATGTGCTAGAAATACCACAGTTAGTCCACAGGTGTGCAAAACTGAGCAAACATCTTAGACTGTTCTCACAGTGTTTGTATCTTGTATGCCAGAAGCTAAGATGCATTTGCCTTCCTCTAAGAAAAGAAGCCTGACAAAAGAATAAATACTTTGGTAATAATAAATTACAAGAAATGAGGAAGACCTACCCCTCAATTAGAATAATAATCACAGAGGTATGTATGTTTACTCACAGAAAACAAAAAATAACTCCTCTGGGCCAGAAAACTCCCTAGTGAGACTCCCACCAAAGACAATAAGCCTGGTATCAATCAGCCTGATACTGTAATGCTCCTTATTTGGGGAAAACTCCTGTTGACTTAGACTAAAATGTAGAGAAATTGGTAAAAGATGTAAAGTACAAAAGGCTTTTTAAGAGAGGTGCACAGATTTAGATCACATGGGATAAGAAAAAAAATAAATGAAAAAAATGCTGAGCTTAAAACTTTGGTTTATTCCTTACCTGATCCTGAGAAATTGTCTAAAGACCCGTCTGTGGTAGTAGTAGTAGTGATCTCACTGCTGTTCATTGGTTCTGTTTTAACTACAGAAATATAAACAGAAGATATTCTATATGCTCCTAATATTCTTGCAGGTGCATGCACACACACTCACCACAAACACAAACTCAATAAAGCAGAAATCTGCCAAAAAAGTTCTAAATCATGACTATCAATATTTTGCATTTTATGTATTTGTGTCTACAAACAGTGCAAAATACTGGCAGCTATGATTTATTTACACATGAATATAAGATGATCAAGAGGGTTATTCCTGTCCCCAAGGAATAAAAGCCACTGTAACAAACCAGAAGTCCATGCAACTCTCTGCACCTGTCCTGATTCCTCTTAATCCTACAGACCCAACAATAAGGATCCACATTTAGATCAGGTCACACAGCATTTACAGGCTTGAAAGACAGCAAATTGAATAAGACAAAAGAGGAAATAATTTTAAAATTATTTTCGCTGAGGGCTGTTCAAATCTTGCTTCCAATTAAATAATTTTTCAGAGAAAAATTAAGGATTTGTGATGAAGTAAAACACTTTTCTTGTGGTGGATTTCTCCTCTCAAAAGGAAAACCAACTTTATACTCAACAACCCAGAATACAAAAAGAGGACACAGTCCTCACCAAATACTTCAAAGAATGCTTTTACATTTTATCCCTCTGCACCCACAACATAACATGGCTGTCTGAGAGTTAAAAAGAAATAGACCAAGTGATTATTGCCTGGCTCATGCTGATTCATAATTAATAATCAATTTTAATGACTTTTAATAAAACCTCAAGTAAATTAACAATTTCCCTTTCTGTCAGTCCAGTGCAAAGTCTGTAATGCTAAGATCAGGACAGTATCCTGATCCAAAGAGCAAGGATGGGGCTGACTTGGCATGGATGCAAAATAGGCACCAATAGCTACTCCCCATACAGTTTGTCTATACATGTGTGTTCAGGAATTACAACCATCCCTAGCAGAAACCTTTGGTACCAAGTTTGAAAAGGGTGAGGCAGAGGGATGTTCCTCTTCTCACAGAAGACCTTTCCTTTCATTGCCAGTCCACGTTCTTATTTTTGCATGTTTTATTTCCTTCACCAAGCCTCCTCCATGGGATTTGTAAGAAATCTCTCAAGATTTTAATAATCGTCCAGTATTTTCTTTTGACTCTCATGCAGGATTTCTGCCTGCTAACTTGGGAGTTCAATGCTTAGCTGCACACAAAACTCTGCTGTGTCTGCATTAACAAGCAATGCAGTCCATTTAGGAAAGTTTCATGAAGTGAAATGGTTGGGGCAGAGGGCCCAGTGTCCAGAGGCTGGGCATTTTTTAGAGCATTTATTCAGCTTGAGAACATTAGCTGCACTTCTGCAAAGCAGCTTTTTTGAAACAAGTAAAGTCCAAGAGACTCCCTAAGGGGAATTACTGTGGTAAGAAAAGGTGGCCACAAGGTTCACTCCAAAAGTGCGCTCATGATTTGAACCATAACTCTATTACAAAGGTATTTCCTAAAAACACAGCATGTAAGTTATTCACTACCCATTTAATGACTAAACACTGAAAGTCTAACACACATATACAATGAAATATTTATTACGAGTGTCTATCACAAGTAATTTTTCAGAAACACTTTTACAGCATGTTCTACAGTTTGTCAACCTAGATATGAAAAATTATAGGATCTACATCATCTTTTGCCTTTTCTTAAAAGTTTATCACAGCTACATTTTAAAGTCAGACTCACACTTCTCTCATAGACTACTCCAAGTTTCCCCAGAATTTGCAAGTCTTCTGAGCCTAATTTCCATAATGCAATTGTACTTTGGGAATAACAATGAAAGATGCTTTCCTCTATAGCTGGTATCTGTGGTGGAGGAAAACAGAGGAAGATAAGACAGATCCACCTAACCTGGAGTAAAGGGTGGAAATTTTCAATATGTGCTTTCTCCAAACTCTTCTCCATTGCAGAAACAACGTTCCATATTCTTCATTTTTTGGATCACTCCAAATTAGTAGTCCGAGGACTATGCTGAACTGCCTCACACCGTATAGAAACGTATACAGTCAGTTCTAGATAAAAAGCAGTTACTTCCTTCCTTCTGAAAAGGACTTGGGATTTCTGGAGGGTAAGAAGTTAGGTGAGAGCTGGAAATGTCCATTTCCAGCCCAGAAAGCCCAACTGCATCCTGGGCTGCATCAAAACAGCGTGGCCAGCAGGGCAAGGGAGAGGATTCTGCCCCCTGCTCTGCTCTCTGAGACCCTACTGGGAGTGCTGCATCCAGCACAGGAAGGACATTGACCTGTTGGAGCAAGTCCAGAGGAAGGACACCATGATGATTGGAGGTGTGGAGCACCTCCCCTGCAAGGAAAGGCTAGGACATTTGGGACTGTTGAGCCTAGAAAAGGTTTTGGGGTGATCTAATTGTGGCCTTCCAGTACATGAAGGGAGCCCACAAGAAGAATGGAGAAGGACATTTTACAAGAACACATAGTGTCAGAAAAAGGGAGAATGGATCCAAAGGGAAAGATAGGTTTACACTAGATACCAGAAAGAAATTCTTTATTCGAGGGCGGTGAAGCACAGGAACAGGTTGCCCAGAGGAGCTGTGGCTGCCCCATTACTTGAAATGTTCAAGGACAGGTTGGATGAGCCTCTGAGCACCTATCTGGATCCTTGTTTAAGATACCATTTTCAGAAAAACATTGTCAAGATGTAATTTCTGTTTCTATGACGAATGAGCAATACTTCTGTTCAACACAGTTTAAAATTCAATGCTGTTTACTACACATACTACTTTTAAAGAGACAGGAAAAATATGAAATACAATGCAGTGCCATCTTCAGGGGAAGGAATTCTAGTTGCTGACTGAGGTGCTCACCAATTTTTCCTAAAAAGTTTATGTTTCCTCTCTTGGCTGTTCCATCTCCTGAATATAAAAAAAAAAAACAGGATAGAAGAAAAAATGTTCCCATTATTCCTGGATCCCTGGATCTGGATACCCATTACTTGGGTGATGAAAAATATGCCCTAGAATGCTGTCTTTAGAAACAACCACAACCTTAATGAACCTTTGTGGCAAAGATAGCTGGGAATTTAATAAAGATGAATAGGTACTGAAAAACTCTCCATTCTCCAAGTACTTTAAAATGCCTGAAAATTGCTGCATAATTCCTTCTATCAGCCTAAGCACATTTAAGAGGATGAAATCTTCCTATACAAAGAAATAAACTGAGAAGAATAGCCATGGGTTTACCTGTTGGAAATATTTACAGGTACTCTTACTGCAAACTCTTGTTTGTCCAAGGCAAAACCCAACTGCCATGGAGCATCTTTCACCCCAGAATCACAGGGAAAGAGAACTGCAGAGGGATTGCCTAAGAATACAGGCCTCACAGTCTATCCCAGCAGCACATGAGTCATCCATGTCCATGATGAGAGACATATGGAGCTGTCCAAGGAAGCCAGGCTTTGGCTGGGCACAGACCTGGCCCTGCCACATGCTGCTTACGGGTGCTCTGGAGTTCAGCTCTTCACATTTTCCATGGCAATTAACATTTCTGCAACATGTCCTAAGCTTTCACAAGATGACACTGGGACATGAGTGGGAATATTGCCACATCTAGACAACACACATTGCAAGCTTGCCAGGACCAGCCAACACCATGCTCAGTTGTGGTAGAAACTGTGGAAAGTGACACAGGAAAAGTTCCCCTTCCTGCTGCTCCTTTATCAAAACTGACCTTTACAAAGATGCAGAATCATCAGACTTGAATTCTAGAGACAGACCCTGATTTAGCAATGTACTACTAAGTTTTAGTGCCACCCATATCACTCATGAATGAGATTATCAATAAGAAGTCCAAGAAGCAGACTAATGTCTTCTTAACCTGCTGCAAAAAGTCAGTGTTTATTTACAACCAATGATTTAGATTTGCTTTATATATGGAGGAGCTTAAGAAATTATGTCAACGAAGAGGTTTTTTCCCCTTATTTTTTGCTTCTAGTAATTTGTGAGATTCTAAAAATACTTAAAAAGAAACTGTGTAAGAAAACACACAGAACACTAGAAAAAATAGGAGTAGCAGATAATAGCACAAATGCTAGCTTGAAGAAAATAAAGAAAAAAAAATCAGAGATATCACAACTGCTGATCTAATGTCATATAGATTGTTAAGATTTTTCTTCTAAAAGAACTCAGGGACTGAAAGTGCAATGTGCCCTGTTTTGTCAGCTGTATAGCAAAAGGTGGTTAAAAAATGACTTACATGGCAGTTTCTGAACTCTATTGAGAGAGAGAACTCCAGACCAGAACCCACAAGTTCATGTGGTTCATTGGCCAAGTAACAACTTTCTGAGTTCACAGCTTGTCATGCAGTTCCTGGTATATATATCAGTAAAGACTGTTATGAGAATGAGATGCTGGCTATTTTAAATATGGATTCTGAGACCTAATATTTGGCTACTCACAGAAGTTGTAAGAATACCTCATAAAGATTTGCACCTTCAAGCATGCAAAAAGTAAGGTTTTAAAATATCTTTTAAAAATTGCTTTTATTACATTAAATACATATAAGTCTTGCTCCACTGAACTCATTTTTGTTAACAGCTATGCCATATACATTAAATCAGAATAGAAATATTGCAAACATGCCTGACATTAAATAGGTTTTGATTTTGCAGTTTCAAGATTGAATTAACACTACGATGTTATATTCTTTGTATTTTACAAAAAAGTGGGCAAAATTAAATTATTTGTGGCTGACAGCTCTCAGTGTTCATGGGCTACAAGAGACTCAACAAAGTGTGGTAGTTTGTTTATAGACATACATAAAACCACAATCTCTTGCCCTATTTTGGCTGGCATCTTCAAATAATATTAGTAACTAAACACCATGTAAATCTTGATTAAGTACTTCATGTATAATCAATTGCTATTCACACACTGTTTTGTTTGACATCATCCTGTTTCTATACTCACTATAGAAGCCCAAATTTCACCTAGAAGCATAAAGATAATTTTTCCTGACAACAGGACAAGAATTCTACCTTGAACCTCTAAGCTGATTATATTTTCCATTATTTTATTCAAACAGCCCTTTGTTTGTAGGGAAGAATCTTGCAATTATAAAAAGGTTACAGGATACTCAATTATACTAATTCCTATCCAGGATATTATTGTCTCTTTCTATCACAGATTATCAAATCATCAGCTTCTGACCATGAAGCCTGATAAACTTACTTGTTACTGCTTCTCAAAGAAGAGAACTCTTCCTGAATCTTATTGTCTGGAAACTACCAGGAGGTAATTTCCAGCCTAAATTTTTGTATGGTTTTCAAAAAAGTCCCTGCTCAAAGCAGCACATTCTAGTTCAAGCCCAGACTGTTCCCTGCTTTCCCCTCCTCTGATGTGAGAGGCTTCAAAACTTCCCCAATATTTGGGCTGTGATTTTACCACATACACCCCCAAGACTCTCATCTTCCTCTTATGCATTTAAGGTGAAAGAGCTTTAACATCCTCGTACCTCCTCATCTAGCAGTAAAAACCTTAAATTTACAAAGAAATGGTGTCACTGCTACAGTGCAAAATCAGAAACAAAATCAGAAAGAAAATTCAAAAACATCTGGATAGAGACAAAGGTGGACAGTATTTGTAGCTGCTAAGCAAGATTCAGCTTGGATTTTTATCTGAAAGTACAGTCATGGGTTAAAATTCACTGCAGCTGGGAGATGAGAGTAGCTGAGTCAAACTAAGGTTCTTATCCCTTCACACTCACATGTCCAGTTATACCAAATGTTTGTATCTCTCCCCTGCAAATGGAGGCAGCATATATCCAAAACCAATCCTTCTAAAAGTGTCATGGACTTTTCTCTTTTCTTTTTTTTAAATTTTCCTCTTTTCAGTTGGGAATCTGACAATGCACATGTTTAACATTTTGCAGTGCTCCCAAACGGTATTCACATTCTTTAACCAAAGCCAGACAAAATGACCACAAAACATCACAGGCCCAGTCGTTAAGGGCAAAGAAGGTTGTCTTCACTACCTTCTGGGAACATGGAGGTTTTCACGTGAACAAGAGAGCAGCATGGAGAAGTCAAGCCTGCTCTGCCATTTAGGTGTACAAGACACAAGACTATCTCATGAAGATAGAAGCACAATGACAAAGCAGGTGGGACTTTTCATAAGTGGGAAATAATATGGTCTACATTTGGCCAGTGTCTGAACTCCAGGACTGACAGACTTAAAGCCAAATTCCCCTGGACAAAGAGATAGATAGTTCTAGCTACTGTTCCCCTCCAGCTAGCACTAGCAGCAGCAAATGCCCTAGCTTGTTTCATCAAACCTGGTGACACAGGTACTTCACTCACTGACCAGGGGTGAAATGACATGGCTAACCCCGAAGTGTAACCAAGTTTGATGCTTTTTTATCTACTTGGGACAAGCAAAATCCATCAGAAGATTATAAGGTGCAAATGCAAATGCTACATCATCAAGCCTCAAGTCTGAAGTTGCTAAGGCTCTTCAAATGCTACCCTATTAAGGTGTGATCTTTGACTAAGATGTTCTACTTCTGTTCCTTCTGCAGGTGCACAGTGACAGCTGGGGCTGGATTTCCTTCTCATCTGTATTACTGGCCAGGCATATGACAAATGACATTTCATTTGACATTTTTGTATGGAATCACACAACTGTACACACATGTGCATAACAGGCTGGTCCCACTGGAAAGACACCACCCCTAGAATGATGTGCTGTGGCTGGTTTTGAGAAAAGAAGTGGATATCCTCACAGGCCCTTGAAAGCCCACAGCCTGCACACAACCACTGGGCACATGGAGCTCTGGGGGCCTTGGGCACACTCAGAGGATGCTCTCACACCCACACTTCATCCACTGTCTGAAACAGCATGTGTTGTGAACATCTATCTGAGAAGCTTTCAAAAATAAATGATATTAAATTAATAGTGCTTCTAAGATTTTCTTTTTTTTTTTTTTAAGTAATTTGTCATTTGCAGTATTTTGTTTACTTCAAATGACTGTTGGAACCAGTATTGCTATTAACTTATCACTTAAAGGAAGTCCTTTCTTTCAGGAAAGCTAATGGAGGAAACTGAAATAGAGCCTCTTTCAAAAATGGATGCACATACATATAGAAAAGACAGTAAGTAAATAAACATTTGTCAGCCAGTCTCCTCCCCAAGACCTTGCAACAGGAGTTGCTTGACTGAGTAAGCAGAGAAGTGAACAAGTCATTTCACTGGCCAAGTACCTATGAAAGAGGAATAATAGAGCATTATGCTACATGTGCTCAGGACAGAAAGACTCTTGGTGAAGCAGGAGAATAAAAGGTAAGACAGAGTCTGGAAGGAAGCCAGTGTAATACAGCAAGGAAAAAAAGGTGAAGAGCAGGGAGGAAGGGCTAGTTCAAGTCAGCCCCTTGCCTTCACATAAATCAGCTGTATCTGATTTTTATCCTCCAGAAGTGACATCAGGTGGAAGGCTCCTACTAGCCTCTACAGACCCCCCAGCTTGCTATTGGGAGCCCAGGTCCCCTGTAGTTTTTGCCTCTGGCCAAACAATGGTCCTCTTGCACTCTTCTGGGATGAGTAAAGAAGTCAGCATCCAGAGCTCTTGATGCTAACACCCTACTAAAAGGTAAATATTACATCTACCTTTAGTCTTTAGTATGCTATTATTTCAGGATGTCTAAATAGGGAGGTACCAATTACAAGTTTCATACCATCAAGCTCCTTAGTGCAAACACAAGTATAGAAATTTCAGCATACATAATTAGCAGGACCTCCAGAAATGAGTAATTAAAAGGTACAACCAGAATCACCAAAAGAAGCATTATTTTGCCTGATTACCATCACCTACCACAACTTTGCATCCCAAAGCACACAAAAACCCAAAAATTGTATAAAAAATAAGAATAAATTAAAAATTATTCACTGCCAATGTGAATTGCTTAATTGTAATACTGAAAGACTATTTTGAGTGCTACAAAGTATTGCTAGAATTTCAAGAAATACAATTTATAGAAATATAATTTACTTAGAGAAATCTGCATCAGATGCCACAACAGCAACCAGCTCTATCCTCTCTATAGATTTTGACATATTACTCCCCCATTACTTTAGGAAATACTGAAAACAATTTTTTCTCCATTCTGTAATACTGCAACTTGACAGCAAACATACCACACAGTGCTGCCTTTTGAAACCCTGAAGATGGATTTATGTTCACCAGACTTAAAACAACCTTTTTAATGGCCACAAATCAGATAGTCTCGTAGTGGAGAGCTTTGACTGCCTTTGTGTCAGATCTCATTCTCAAGTTGCAGCAGGTACTTAAAGAGTGAGAATCATTTTTTTCCAAAGGATTTTTGATGTCCAACTCCCTTTGAAGCCTCCCTTCCTATGTATCTTTGAAAATCTGATCTTCAATTTGTTATCCATTTTCCCTTCCCACTTGATATGACAATGCCTTCCCTCCTTCCTTCTTGAACACTCGAATAAAAGGGCAGTAGCAGGTGTGTACTGCTTAAATGAATAAAGTTGCTCAGAAAATAATAAGAAGAAGTTGCTCCTTCTCCCAGTCCTCATCTATTCTTTTCCATTTCAGTTGCATAAAACATCATCATGATGGGCCACAGGCTTCTGTTTCTCACTCTATGCCATCCATCAGATTTGATTTACATTCTTAAGATAAAAGTAAAGATCACCGTAGGCAGAAACTGGATGCAGTTGTCTGCCATGGAAAACAGATTTCCTACTCCTTTCAAGTTTACTGATTACTCACGGCCTTTCCCCTCTAAAGGGTATCCACCAAAGTGGGCACTGTGTTGGAATAGCCACCAGCTGTCTGATAAAACTTAATGAATGGCAATTTTATGAGCTTCTGTTGTTATTGTTCCTTTAACTCCTTCAGTATCAACCCACCATGGCAATTCACTGGCAAAGGAAGATTAGAGATAAGGCAAAACTATGACAATTTTGATCCCTACTCCAATAATTTCTTTTCTTAGGCAAGTTATACAAGGCCATAATTTTTATGGTGTCCAGTGCCTGCTCTTTTTTACGATAGGAGGGTATGTTGTGGAAATACACTTAAAGAGAACAGGAAAACCTCAAATACTGTAGTATTTATATAGTCAGCATCACCATGGCATACTAGGCCTGATTTTTCTGAGTGCCTTTAGCCAGACATTTTAGTCCTCTGCATTTGATCCTGGGAAACTTCTGTCTGCTCAAGGTCTATAATTTCCTTGTTACTTCCCCATCAGTGAAGACCATGCTGCCTGGCCAAGAGAAGAATTTTGCTCTCTCAAAGTGAATTTAAGCACACAAAGAGTTATTATATATAAGCTGCATGTAGAGATTAAATTCAGACTCAATCACACAACTAAATCCCCATTCAGTGCTTTGAAAACTTACAGCTAAGTGTGAAGCTAAAAATATTAGCTAACAAAGTGAGCTATCTTCCAACCACATCCTCTTCCAGAAAAACATCAATAGAAGACAAGTCTGAAAATGTGCCTTAGAGGAATTAATGAACATTTGTTTGAAATGCAGCCATTTCACTTTGGGACAGGTTTTTTTTTCCTCCTTCTTTCTTCTTCCCCTCCCCTCATCTAGTGAACATATCCTGTGCTTCAGGGTATGGAAACCTGTCAAAATCACACCCATAGTCAAATCAAATTTAACATATCTTTACAAGATATTTATAACATGCAAATACCTAGAGGCCCTTCTTCTCAGTCACATGAAGATCTCTTATGCTAGGGAAGGAGGGCTCTTTCACATTAGTGAGAATCTGTGCATGGTAGAAGCTGATTTCACACATTATATTTGACATGTGAAGATTCAGCAACCCACATTTCCACTCCATGTGCAACAATCAAGCAAACCACACTGCAGCATCTAGAAAGAATTGTTTGGTGAGCCTTTGCAACCACATGCTTACAATCAGCCACTTCTGGCTCAGCAGGATTCTGCTTCAAGAATCCCAGAAAAAATAATTTTATTTCAACCTTCATAAAAAAAAATAGAAAACTTTTGCTTCATTCACTCCACTCCTTCTTAAGTCTTTTAAGCAGCTCAAGGAGCCTAACAAAACATTTTCTCAAGATAAAACAGATAAGCAGTAAAAATTCCACCTTCAGATTCTTAGGGATCTGCTTCACTTACAAATTTTGTCTCTTGGCACACATTTCATTCAGAAATAAATTATTCTACTAGTTTCTTTGAAAAACTTTTCCTTCTTTGTCACTTAAGAGCAATCAGAGACAGGAATTTTCAAATTAGAGAGCTCAGAGCAGAACCGCCAAGCACAAGCTGTCTCTCAGGACACTTTTGGAACAACATCCAAAATCGCATGCTGAGTGCCCACGCCTGCAGCACCCAAACCTGCAGGGCTCTGTGTGCTAGGGCTGAGCAGCCAGTCTGCAGTGCTGAGGAGGGTCATGTCACCTGAGGGAAAAGGGCAAACAAAAGAAAACCGTTTGGCTTCGTCTCAGGAGGCAAACATCTATTGCAAGTTAGAGCTTTCTGGGTAGAATTCACTCCAAATTCTTTTAAACTGGAAAGTTCAAGTGTCAGACAAATAAGTTACCATGGTTTAATTGACTTCTTTCAATAAACTCTGATACCTACCTAGAAGTTATTATTTCCAAAATTATTTTCTACCTGAGGTCAGTCCATTAACAGATACAACATATAGCTCATTTCCTGACAAAGTAATATTAAGCATTTCTCAGAGTGGATGCACACGGCACTACATGTCGAACAAAAAGTCAAGTCAGATGATGAACATCTTTCAATGTTTCAAGGAACACCCCCTATTTTTTTTTTTCTACAAAAGAACCTTCAAGTTATATAGAAGGTAGAAAAGCTCATGAAGTTTACAACAAAGGCTTCTGTGAGCTAAAGGAATTTTAATTTGAAAGGGCAATTTTATCCTGTACCAAAAGTGGTGTATACCTGGTAATATGATATAAAAATATAATAACATACTTGTATATTTTAAAGGAAGAAGACTAATTTATGGACATAAAGTATTTTCCTGCTTAAACTCCATGAGCACAGTAAGTACTTTATTTATCCTTTAAAAAGGGTTTGGGTTTTTTTATGGCTTAATATTTGATTGAAGCAATACATTTACAGCAATAGCAAAAAGTAAATTACACACAAGTCTGGCACAAGTCCCTGTTAATCTGATAACCCATAAACTGTCCCCACTACCAAGGACTCCAATTACAATGAATAACAAAGATATGTGGGGAATTGAGGGGGGGAACAACATCTGTTTGATTGACATGTGCCTTTCCTGGAAAAATGCATGTCCATAATCCTAAAGAGTTTGACAGCACTACTGCAACCCAGTTCTTAGGGGGAAAAAAAAAATCATATCTTTGCTACAACAGTTGTAGCAGTTTACTTATACATATATGCTGAAGAGCAATACTGAACCTGCATGACTCTGTCTTCCAGTAATGCATTAAGTCTCTGTTCACACAGCCAGTTAAATGTCCCATATGATCCTTCCACTATTGCCATAGAAATGCTTCAGGAAAGAGCATTTTTTGCTGCTCACTGCATAAACCCTCCTGTGTTTCATTATATGTATTATTATATGTATTATAGATGTATTATATTACTGGCAAAGCTGTTAGGTTGTTCTGTTGTTAGTATTCTACTGAGAACAAACATAACTTATCAACTGCCTGACTGCTTCTTGAGAAATAGATATCAGTTTACCCCATTGAATTAGTACACCTGTTTGAATTTTGGTCACTCCATCAGAGCAGCAAGCTGGCCTGAGGAACTTTCAACACTCAGTTTTATTAGCCTACTTGACAAAATTCTCATAGCCTTAGGAGCTTAGAAAAAATGAGACATAAAGAAATACCAAAATAGCAAGAAAGACTGAAAAAATACATTTTCTACTATGGCAATTGTAAACACCTACTTCTTTTCTCTCATCATTAAACTTCCTTTTCAGTTTTTTGACATTTTTTTTTAATTTAAGCTCTGCACATACTACCTGCTCAGTCCCCTCAAACTCCATGAAAGAAACATAAACCTGTAATGAAAGCTATTGCTGAAACTTGATAATAGTAACTACTGATAAACATTGAACATTGCCTTTATGTAACATATGAATAAACACAGAACACCTAAATTAGTAAAACATTATATAGCGTGCTGACTGTGAGAACACCAAAGCTAAAAAGGAGAAAAAAAACCAAGCTATGAAACACTGAAAAAAAAAAAGTCTGGCTCACCTTCTGTGCCATTGGGTGTCATGGAATTATTATTTATATGGGAGTTATCAAGTTTTGGACCACTGGGGGATTCACTACTACCACTTAGTCGTCTGTGTGGGCTGGCTAGATCCTGCATTTCCATAGACCTGAAAACAAGATGCAACTTGTTTTAGTGACATAAGTCAACATGAATTACAGAGGAACTGCCTTTATGAGATGCAGCCTGCTATTTATCAACATCCCAGAAACACTTAGTAAAAAATTAACTACTTTTCCCAACTTGATCTTTTCCAGCGCTTAACTCATGTCGTAGCCCCAAATATGAGTGACCAGCTACTTTATTTTTGCATCTTCTAACTAAATAAAACCTAGATTCCAAGCACTGCACTTTAAAAATTGATGCAATCTCATATTTTTAAAATACGTACAAAGACGGAATCACCAACATATGAAGACATATATTCTCTTAAAAACAAATTAACACTCTGCTTTTTCAAGATTTACCACTCAGTGGCAATATAATGGGCCTCCAAAACAAATAAAACACTTGAAGCAATTGTGGAAACCTATCATCTACTGACAGGGAATGAGATATTCCTGATGTATGTGTTTACTCTGGCAAACTACTTAATTGTTCCTCTGTTTCCTTTGAAACAAATGCAGCATTAAAACATTATTATGTCTGCTCACTTGTTTGCTTTGTGGATTACATAAAGCGTGCCCAACTGGGAAGGGATCTGCCCGACATACAGTGAGACCATGCAGGCGCTGGTGTGCCTGAGCACTCTGCTGTACCTCAGCAGCTGTCGCTCACTCAAAATGAGGAAAGAGCAATTCCCAGCTAAAGCAAAAATTAAACATTTAAACAGCATTAAAGCAGCTAAATATTTAATATTTGTGCTTTCAATGGCCCTATATTAACAGGATAACAGTCATCACCACCATGACATATCCCTTGGTTGGTGTTGGAGCTTATCACTGAAGTTCCCTACCCTTCTGCGCCTTTATACCTAAAACTTTTGAGATTGTTATTTGATGTACTCATTCAAAGTAATTGCTCCCAGTAGAAACTGCATAGGTTACTGTGCCTCCAAGGCACTTGAACTAGTAATTTTTCAGTTTAAAAGTAATGCTTAGGCTCTTTTAAAGACTATTAAAATTTTATATAAAATTACTCCTGCAGTAATGGTATAAATATTCTAAGTGTCATTTCAGGTACAAAGCTTTTGTATTTTAACTGAAGCTTTATCACAGATTCTAAACCTAGATCCTTCATTTAATATTTCTTTACCTAAAACATTCTACACAAAAAGAAGAAGATGATACTGCAATGAGTTCAAAACGCCTGCATCAAATATAAATTCAAACAATTTTGTGTAAAAGATACGTGCTCATGGTTTACAGATTTGGTTGCACACACGTAAAGGCTACGCTCCAGCACGTACTCATCTGCTTAATGTGAGAAACAAGAATAAATATTTTACTCATCACTTGAAGTTTAAAAAAATCCCCAACAATAAAAGGCTTGCAAAAAATTATCAAATTTTGGTCAAATTCTTACCTGCAGCTTGAGGAAACAGCAACATCTGAACTGGTTTGGGACTTCTGCACCTGTAAACCAGGGAAACAAACAGAAGCTTCTATTACTCCACTTTACTATGAGGCCTTAATTTAAAGAAAGGATATCACTACGGATGACAATTCTGTCCTTTAAATCCAAAGGGAGAGGAGGAGGGTGCGGTGCCCCTGAAAGGCATATTGTCTTTAAATTGAAGGCTCAACTGTTGTTTCCCCGGCAGGTCTCTCTCCCTCCTCCCCGCGCCAGGGGACGGCAGCCAAGTGACGGGATAGTGATTCATCAGGGGCCCGTGACAGCTGCACAGGGGCTCCGCACTCCTCCTCCCCCGGCACGGCTCGGCTCGGCTCGGCTCGGCTCGGCTCTGCCTGCACCCGCAAAGGTAACCCCGCCAAGGGCAGCACCAGCTGCTCCTGCCCCGAGCCCCGCAGCATCCTCCGCTCCTCTCATCCCTCCTTCCTCCTTCGGTCCTGACAGATTCTTGCCCTCATCACACTGGTTTTCTTCTTCCTTTGCTCCTCGCCATCCTTCCTCTGTGCCACAGGGAACACACAAGTCAAGCTCACCCCAAAGGCGAGCTGGAGATGCTGATGGTATTTTTTGGGGAGGAAGGGTAGAGAATAACAACGGGCAAGTCTACCTATGGTAAAGATCTTCACTATAAAGCACACAGCCTGACAGAATCACCTCTAAAAGAAGCCCATCTCCAGCCAGGTCAAATTAAAATAAAAACTCCACATGCTATTGCATAGTCTTATTCCTAAAAATTGCAGTTGCTAATGCGATTTCTGGTAAAATTACTTAAAAGGATACTTCTGGCTAAATAAATGGGAGAAAGCTGTAGAATTTACCTCTGAGGTCGCTCATGAAGAAAAGGAATCTTTTTCCACTGGAAAGCCCACCAATAATTTTTTAGTTTAATCAAATCATTCCTTTTATAACTCAGGTGAGTAATAGCTTTCATATTCCATCAGAAAAACACTGTTGCTTTACCAACAACCTTTAGGCAGTAACAATTGTCAGCAGGTGATAAAATTCAGGTGGAAATATACTCTGTTAGCTTAAAAGCACACGAAAGCTTCTCTGGGCAAGGTATATATCCTCCCAATGTCTGCAGTGAGCATCTTTCTTGTACGTTTCCATTCAACCTGAACTGACATCCCTTAAATGATCACAGAGCAAAGACAAGGGAGATGAGGCATTTGAAGTGCCATAAAAATCATCCGAGCAAATCCTACTTATGTGTCTGTAGGGTGGGTTTTTTGTTATTTTTAATCACAGACAGAATTACTACTAGCAAGAGTAAACAACTGCTAGGGGCAGTCAGGCAAGGAAGAGCACTACAAATGATGTCAAGAAGCATGCAATAATGCATGCTGAAGAACATCAATCTTTTTATAACTGGGTACTTAAAGTACTGCATAACACGCTTTTCAATACATCGCTGCATGCCAAATCAAACTAGACTTGCAGATAGAGTCAAAACTCTGCATTTTGGTTTAAGGAATTTTTTTTCTCCTTAGTTCTTTATCCCAGAAACTGCTGCAGAGTGCCTTAGGATATGCTTCTGCTGTTACTTCTAAACACCTGGAAAAAATTATAGGTGAGAACTAGGTTTGCCTACAGAGCTATCTTCACTCCCTCTTGCACAGGATCTTATAAAACCCATCTTTTATAATAGAAAAGACTTCCTTTTTCAAATGGATGCTTTAACAAACTGATATTTTCCAACATGCACTACACAATTATTAATACTTGATTCAAATTTTAAAAAATGTAATCCTCACTATTTTAAGTACCAAATTTTTACAAAAATAGAAACTTCTGCACATTTGAAAATATATACATCATATACATATATAGATGTCCATGTATGTGCATAGCAAGAAAGATCTCATTAATGTATTTGTGGGACAGGGCAAAAAAAATAACCAGCTCATTCACAGTGAATTAAATATATACCTTAAATGTCCTCCAACACTCCATGATTTGTGAAAGTTCATATCCACAATTTTCATTTTCATTAGACATACTTTAGATATATTCCTTTGTGTCTCAAGGATTATTTAAACCATGTGTTGCACGTTACCAAATTTAAAAATGACTCTTTAATCAAAATAACTTTAAAACAACTAATCCTCACTTAGGCTGGTCAGCTGAATCCACAGAGTGGTCCAGGAAAAATAAATCTACTCTCAAGAATGCGAATGCAGACAACAATTAGACACAGATGTGACTGAAATTAGTTACAGTTTACAAAATGCTACACTTCACATGCTTTCAGTTTTTTATGTGCAGTACAAAATTACAATGTAGTAAGGAACCACACTTATGACGACCAGTTAATTCATAGAATAAAAACATTTCTGGGTGGTGTGTGCTTGTGCTTTCTCTCATATATTCCCATTTTGTCAACAGGTTTCTGGGTAATTGAAGTTTGGCAACATAACTCACATATCAAATAAAAAGTGGGGGGGAAAAAACCCAAATGCTTGGCCTTATCTGGACAGAAATGGGTCACATTAAAAAAAAAAAAAAAAAAAAAAGGAGCTGTCACACCCCCTTCATACTCAATGCTCTGCTTGAACTAAAAACGCCTTATAGGCTAAATGGCATACACGTTCTTAATACTTCAAAAACATTACTCTGTATAATTTGATTTTTGTCAGTAACATTCACATCTTTCTCCTTAATACAGACTGCAGATTGGGCACTATGTAGTACATGGCGAGAAAAAAAGGACAGTGATAGCAAAGCTACTTAAAATTCATCCATTTAAGAATCTTAAATCAGTAACATCAAATTCTGATTAGTTAATGAGGTCTTTTAAGTTTGCCCTTTTTTCTAATTAAATTTATAATTCTTCACAGATGTAGGTTTTGTTGATGTTCAATTTGTCTCTCTCATTTTGTTAAACCTCACATAGTACTCCACCAATCCACTGAATAGCCACATTAAATCTGTTAATACCATGCTCTTCAACCCCAGAAATTATTTCCAGAAGGCAAACTTGCTTTGAGAGATCATCAAACAAGACTTAAGGTACACATTTTATCACATTTTCCCTACCACAGAGCTCAGGATGCAGAGGAAAATTCATGACTTTTGCACTGTTTATTATACTTTGCTAAATTACAAATCAAAAGCATCTGACAGAAGATCATGTATGAAGCCAAAAAGTTAATAATGTTCTGTGAAAAGTAAACTGTAAATGGGAAGAGATTCTAAATTTCAGCAGCACAGAGCAAATAAAATGTAGGTACTTGTCTAAATTACAGGTTTTCCACCGTATTTTTGCTTGCTAGGAGCAATTTTTTTAATGGCTATAATTTAAAACATTTTTCCAGCTGAAAAGAAATTTTCAAAGTGAAAATAAGAATTTAACCCAGAAAACTATAGCCAGCACACAAGTTTTCTCTTAAAACACAGTTCTACTTTAAAGAAGCAAATTTCAAAGACAATGGCAGTTTTCAAATGAGGGTGTTCCTTCTTAGGGAAAAAAAAATCTGTCATTTTTAGGAAGGGGTGGAGGGAGGGAGGGAAAGGGACTTTTTCCCAACAGCACTCTTT